CTGTCAGAAGAGAGAGAGAAGGGAAAAAAGATCAACCAATAAACCAATTTTCCCATTTGATAATCAACAATGTTCTTTAACTTGGAGCATATGCAGTTGAAGTCAGAATTAGGACCCTCCCTGTTTATTTTTTCACCCAAATTTCTGTTTAATGGACACATTTTTTTCAACACATTTCTAAACATAATAGTTTTAATAAACTTCTAATAACATAATAATTTCTAATAACCGATTTATTTTATCTTTGCCGTGATGACAGTAAATAATATTTGACTAGATATATTTCAAGACACTTCTTTACAGCTTAAAGTGACATTTAAAGGCTTAACTAGGTTAACTAGACAGATTAGGGTAATAATTAGACAAGTTATTGTGTAACGATGATATGTTCAGTCAACTATCGAAAAAAATTTAGCTTAAAGGGGCTAATAATACTGACCTTAAAATGCTTTTTTTTTTAAATTAAAAGCAAATAAAGCAGATAAAACTTTCTCCAGAAGAACAAATATTATCAGACATACTGTGAAAATTTCCTTGCTCTGTTAAACATAATTTGGGAAATATTTCAAAAAGAATAATAAATTCATATATATATATATATATATATATATATATATATATATATTTTTAATATTCAAACTCAAAACCACAATTTAATTAACAAATTAATTCAAGCATCGCAATTCACAGCACAAAAACATGGATATTATTTATCTATAAATTAAACTTCTATATAAATATGCTAAATAATTTTCAGCTACTATGCGTCTGGCTGCTGGAATCAGCTTTCAGAAATGATTAGACATACTCCAACATTAGGCACATTCAAATCACATCTGTTTAGCTGTGCTTTACTAAATGAGCACGGGCTACGACCAACAGATCGCACTACTATGTCTTTCTTTTTTTTTTTTTTTCAATGTCGTTGTAGGTGGGGTGGTTGTTAAATATCAATTAGTTCATAACAAATGAATTAATTGTAGCCTACCGTTTTCACTACCTGACCCACATGGTCTCCGCTTTACCCATAACCAAACCATAAATAAATAAAGTTACAAATGACCACCTGTCAATCACTTTTTTTCCGCGGGACTCTGGCATGAATAGGCACAGTGATCCGTGTCGTTCTAATGGCTTTTCCCACAGCTGGTGGAGATGAGAGTTTGGTTGGAGTTCACTGTAGTGCATACATTTTCATTGTTTTCACTGCAAAATCCTCACCGCGTGCACGGATTTAGGAGACATATATGCAGAATACATCTTTGCACCTAAAAACGCCAAACGCAGCGCTCAGGAACAGATTAAACAGTTGTTATGTGAACTTGCTCAAGTAAAAATGCCTGCAATGCTCGCCCCGCATTTGTGCTCTTATTGACTCACTGCTCTAGAACTGAACGTGAATGATTGGTTAATATCGGCCGTCAATCACTCAGTCAATGCCTTCTGCCTTCAGATGACAGGAGCTACAACTGCGAAAATGTGAAGTGCGGAAGATGAGAGAATGAAAATAACACTGACAGATTTACCTGAAGTTACTAATAATGGCACATCTTATTAGTGATCATGTGCTGAATGTTAATCCACCATTTACACTTTTCCAAGAGTGGATAAAAGACTTTCAGGGTTTCAAGTCTGCTATGAAAATGACTAAAGCCAATCACTGTAAAGTCTGTGGGAAGGGGTTTGCAGGTAACAGCGTTTGCCACTGAATCTACATATTTTAAGTGTGAGAGTTACGGTATAATCCTTCAGTTAATCCTCACGATGCTGTCAGCCGTGCAAGCGGCAGCTATATGTAAAACATAACACAGCTCATGATAAGATCGTTATTGCTATTAAGATGACATGCAAATAATAAGTTATATATCAATATAAATGTGGGGCGGGGCGATGGATCATGATGCCGGCTCAGCATCTTGAAGTTTGTCGGCCATATGCAATGGACGATGTCATCGTCTATCGGCAGAACCCTAATTCAAATGCTACTAATTGATTCAAGAATTATAAGACACAGCATGGAAATACTGATCATATATTGGAGATTTCAAAATAAATAAAAATAAATGAAATAACCTAAGCATCAAAATACAGTAAAGAAAGAAATTTTAAAAAGTCTACTTAAATTAATAAAACTAAAACGAGAATTCCACAAATATATTCAACAATTAGAATGCTACAAATAGAAGAATTTATTACAACATTAAATGCGCAACATAAAAAATAAATAATAATATGTAAATTTACTAAAAACTATTTTATTACGGTTGGAGTTAGTGTTAAAGGGAAACCCCAGTATTACTTCAAAAAATGGATTCTTGTTGTAAGTGAAATTAACATCATCTCTTTTTCATACCGATTACGTAACTCATTTTCAAAAAGAAACCCAAAATTTACCAATCCAGCAGGGCATCTGGTTTAGGTGCTTCTTTGCAATCCAGCGCTGTGTAAGCACTTTGAAAAACAGCTTGCATTCGAAGAAAAACACCTGGCGAGTCTGAAAATTCATGCCCTCAGCCTGCTAACAGTCCTCAATACAAATCAAACACAATAAATCACAGCAAAAAACATCCATCTGATGCCAACGCCAGCTGGCAGAGCGAGCGAGCGATTCTGTGCTCCCAGCGAGCGCCAACAAATCTAATACGGCGATGACAGGAGCGAGTAAAACCAACGGCTTGAAGTGTATATCAGCTCCTGTAGGCCCTAACGATCTGTGTGTGTGTGAGACACCACAGAGAATCATTCCTTTTATTTCAGTGCTTGTTCCCGCTGACATCATAATGCTAATAATCAAAACACAATCACCAGGAGGGCCAGACAGAAACTTTTTTGCTATTTCTGCACAGTTTTGTAGAAAATCTGTGGATTTATTAACAATTGCAGCGTTATGTGACAATTGCAGTGAAAACTCAAAACATGAATTCACAAGGTATACACTCACTGGCCACTTTATTAGGTACACCTGTCCAACTGCTCGTTAACGCAAATTTCTAAGCAGCCAATCACATGGCAGCAACTAAATGCATTTAGGCATGTAGACATGGTCAAGACGATCTGCTGCAGTTCAAACAGAGCATCAGAATGGGGAAGAAAGCTGATTTAAGTGACTTTGAACGTGGCATGTTTGTTAGTGTCAGACGGGCTTGTGAGTTTTTCAGAAACTGCTGATCTACTGGGATTTCCACACAGAATCTTCTCTAGGATTTACAGAGAATGGTCCAAAAAAAGAGAAAATATCCAGTGAGCGGCAGTTCTGTGGGTGTAAATGCCTTGTTGATGTCAGAGGTCAAAGGAGAATGGCAAGACTTGTTTTAGCTGATAGAAAGCCAACAGTAACTCAAATAACCACTCGTTACAACCGAGGTATGCAGAACAGCATCTCTGAATGCACAACACATCCAACCTTGAGGTGAATGGGCTACAGCAGCAGAGAACACACCAGGTGCCACTTCTGTCAGCTAAAAACAGAAAACTGAGTCTACAGTTCGCCAAGACTTAAAGTTGGACAATAGAAAACTGGAAAAACGTTGAGGTGGGTGATATTTTCTTGGCACACTTTGGGCCCATTAGTACCAATTGAGCATCTTGTCAATACCACAGCCTACCTGACTATTGCTGCTGACCATGTCCATCCTATTATGACCACAGTGTACTCATCTTTTGATGGCTACTTCCAGCAGGATAACGCACCATGTCATAAAGTATGAATCATCTCAGACTGGTTTCTTGAACATGACTTTGAGTTCACTGTACTCAAATGGCCTCCACAGTCACCAGATCTAAATACAATAGAGCACCTTTGGGATGTGGTGGAATGGGAGATTCACATCATGGATGTGCAGCCAACAAATCTGCAGCAACTGCGTGATGCCATCATATCAATATGGACCAAAATCTTTGAGGAATATTTCCAGTACCTTGCTAAATCTATCAAAGCATAAAGGCAGTTAGGAAGGCAAAAAGGAGTCCAACCCAGTACTAGTAAGTTGTACCTATTAAAGTGGCCGATAAGTGTGTGTTAACATTATGTTGAAACATCTGTTTATATTTTCCAAACAACTAGACACAGAATTATGGGATTAATCTGTAAAAAAAAAAATTTAAATAAGGAAAATAAACATGCGTTATGGATTTGACATATGCGAGTTTACACTATACAACATACTTTGTAGAAACCCAGTGGAATAAACTGTACAACCCAAAAGAAACTACGCTAACCAAAATGATAATAGTTGGCTCACTACAGAACAAAAATTTTTAACTTTATTTAATCTTATGGATGTAACAGATGTGAAATTGGCACTTGTGTGACTTTCATAAATCGAATAGGGTATATGCCGAGCTAGTGCTGTTCCCATGCTGATACACTTCCGGTGACCTGTTATTGTGAACTTTTTTCCATTTTATACGGTTACTTATACAACATCGATGTTGTAATGTCATTAAAATACATTCAGTTAAATAAACTTTAGCATTTATTTGGTTGCTCAAGCGTAAAACGAGACAAAAAGCTGTTTACTCGCACACGCCCGTCAGAATCGGCAGGCTAACGCAGAAGCTCCATTGAATATAATGGGGTAAAATAAATGCTCATATTATAAAGATATGGTGGGGGAAATGTAATTTATTGCAGTGCTTCTTGTACAATCTGAGACCCACTTTAAATCGGATATCACTCAGCCAGTGGAGATCGCTGATTTTTAAAGAAAACAGACCTTAAACGCACCGGATTTTGCATTGGCATTCCATTCGCCAGAAGCGCTTAACCCAGGTTACTGGCAAATTAAAAGTCCTATTAGCATGCTTCGGCATATACCCCATTTAATTGTTTGAAAACCTTGACAGAAATTGAGTATTTTTACAGTATTGTAAAATTCAAGCCAACACAAAAAAAAACAGAAAGGCTTTCACCATTTTGCTGAATTCTTGCTATATTTTCATAGCAAGGTTGACATTCAGATGGAATTGCTCTAATGTGGAATGGTTTTGAGAGAATTCCA